CTTTAGAAGCTCCACAAGGGAAAATACTTTGATTCTACAATACTTGAAAATAATTTGGGAAAGAGTACTTTCTTTCTTTCCTCCTTTCTTTCTTTTCCTTCCTTCCTTCTTCCTTTTTTCACATAGGCATGGTGGTGGAGACTGTTTTCAGTTACACTTTGTATCTGCCAGCTGACATCTGCTGCACAGGGGTATGGGAGTAGAGGAGCCCTGAGTGAATGGTGTCCTAAATGAATCTATTGTTGACACCGCACAGCCACATCAAGGAATCCTGTGCCTCAGCCCGACAGAAGAGGCCCAAATGGCAAATCCTTCCTTGGATCCAAGTGTGGATGTTGATAAGTGTTCAGAAATGTCCACTGTAGCTTTCTTATTCTGAATCTTTAAGGCCTGAAGACTGTTCCTACAAGAATTAGCTAAGCCTGTTTCCTTGCTCAGCTGTATGCAATATTTTGACTTTCTTGTTGAACTGCATATAATAAACTTTCTAAGATTTTAAGTACTGTGGCTTCTTCATTGGGAAACCCAAGGCCACCTGATCCAAGCCTTTGGGTGCCCGTGTCTGTACTGGCTGGTTTTGTGTGTTAACTTGGCACAAGCTTGACTCATCAGAGAGGAAAGAGCCTCAGCAGAGGGAATGCCTCCATGAGATCCAGCTTGAAGGCATTTTCTCAATTAGTTACTAATGGGAGAGGGCCTAGTCCATGGTGGGTGGTGCCATCCCTGGGCTGGTGGTCCTGGGTTCTGTAAGAAAGCAGGCTGAGCAAGCCAGGAAAGGCAAGGCAGTAAGTAGCACCCCCTATGGAATCTGTATCAGTTCAAGCCTCCAGGATCCTGCTGTTTGAGTTCCTGTCTTGACTTCCTTCAATGATGGACTGATGTGGAAATGTAAGCCAGATAAACCCTTTCCTCCCTAACTTGCATTTTGGTCATGGTGTTTCATTCAAGCAATAGAAACTCTGAGACAATGTTTTTCTTTCCTTTGTTCACTCACTGCCCCAATAAGGTCAACCCCGGAATGGTGCAAGGGTGCAGAGCAGGCCCCTCCACACTAATTCATTTGCATCATTAGAAGCTCACAGGTATTCTGTGGTTTACAGTCCATTCCCAGCATTACGTTCTTAACTTGCCCATGTAGGCCAGAAGCAGAGAGGGCTCCTCCATCCTTGGGCATGCTCTCTGCTTCCATCTCTTAAACACTTATTTTTTCTTGTTATCATAGGATATTGCAGGCATATTTATACATTCATATGCCCCATCAAGAAATCATATTTTTTCATTGCTTTTACTGAGCTATACACTTCTCTCTGCTCCCCTCCCTCTCTCCCTTCCCTTCTGCCCTCTCCCATGATCCCCAGCAGGAATCATATTTTTCTAATGAGCTTTCCTTATGGAAAGATGGGATTTGGAGATTGGCATCTGGGCAGGTGTGCTCCTGGAGTGTTTCTAGGGCATCTTGGACAAAGATGGGAAACATGTACACACAGCTGTGTACCTGTGGTGTGCATCTGAATGCAAATTCCAAAAGCCTTCTGTCTTCACGCTGATACCGTGGGCTCACTTTTGCCTTTGAGTATTTGCCTCTCTTCCTGAGAAATCACTCACTATGTTTCCTTGGTCAACCGTAAGAAAAGGCAGCTCTAGAATCGCCAGCCCACACTCCCTTTGTACAGAGTGCATAGTTCCTTTTGTCTTTAGCCTAAGCCATGCCACTGTTTCCTAACCCCTTGTATGTTGGGTTTGCTTCTCTACTCTTTCAGAAAGTGTGCTAATTAATGCTCTTTGGAAAGGTAGCTAGGCTCATACATTAGTTTCTCATCTTGCATCCCTGGTGTGAGCTTTGGTTTTTGATGTCTGGGGTATAAGAAACATGACTGCATTTAGAGTTGGCACTATAGGAAAATGTGAACTGAGGGTGTCATCTCCTCTGCTCTACACAGACGGGTTCCCAGCCCTGGCTCTGCACTCGATGTGCACTGTCTTCGTAGGGAACAAGCTTCTAGTTTATTGAGCTTCCTTTGTATAGATGAGTAGGTACATTTGTATTTCCTTGAATTGCCTTACCATAAGGATGGTTTCTCACTTAACAATTCATACTGTAAGTCACACCGGTTCCTAGAGATCAAGCGATACAGTGGTGTAGGGATCTTAGGGCATTTCCACTATCTGCAGTCACTCCCAGCAGCACAGGGTATCTTGTGCATACGAGCTTCTGTATTGCTACTATCAAGGTGGGGTCTCAGAAGAGATCTGAATTGCTGCTATAACAGCAATATAAGGGGGCTTTATTCATTGGCATGGTCCCCCCCAAAATGCCATAACTTGACAAGCTTCATGGGAGAAACTGGTAACTTGACTTTAACTTGAATTTTCTGTTTAAAGTATATTTTTGTGTGTGCATATACATGTGTGATGATCCAAGGACAACTTGTGGGAATTAGTTCTTGCCTTCTACCATGTGCAACCTGAGGTTGAACTTAAAGTGGCAAGCTTGGCGATAGGTGCCTGATGTGGAATATTATTTTAATTGGGCAAGGATGTGTTACATTTGTTTATGCTGAGCTATCTTACTTTAACTGTGAAAAGATGTGTTGCATTTGTTTATTTATGCAAAGATGTGTTGCTGTTTTACCTTGCCTGCCTAAGGAACCTGATTGGTCTAACAAAGAGCTGAATGGCCAGCGGCTAGGCAGAGAAAGGATAGGTGGGACATGTGGGCAGAAAGAAAAAGCAGGAGAAGAAAGTTAAAAAACGGGAAGAGAGGAGAGGAGAGAGATGCCTGGGGCCAGCCAGGCAGCCACCAGCCAGCAGACACAGAGTAGGACATAAAGGCAAAAAGCCCCAAGGCAAAATGTAGATAAAGTTAAAATAAATCTGAACACTCATAACTAATAAGAAGTCTCCATGACATGATTTGGGAGCCTGATACATGTGCCTTTACAAGATGAACCATTTTACTGGTCCTCTATCTGAATTAAAAAAAAAAAACCCACCAAAAACAAAAACTCATCTTGTGTAATAAGGTATATAATGTATGGAACCTTGAGCATAATTGGATCCCATAATCTCATTGGGAGTGGCACTCTTAGGAGGTATGGCTTTGTTGGAATGGGTATGACCTTGCTGGAGGAAATGTGTCACTGTGGGAGCTGGTGTTGAGGTTTCCTATACTCAGGATACTGCCCAGTGTCTCAGTTAATTTCCTGTTGCCTGCAAGCCAAGATGCAGGACACTTGGCTACTTCTACAGAACCATGTCTGCCTGCATGCTACCATGTTCCCTGCCATAATAATGGACTGAAGCTCAGAACTGTGAGAGAGCCACACCAAATAAATGTTTTCCTGTAAGAGTTGCCATGGTCACGGTATCTCTTCACAGCACTAGAAACCCTCAGACACAAAGCTAGTAGGGTAAAAATGTTAATACGGTGACGTAAACCGACACATCAACTTTTAAACAAAAGTATGTTTAAAAACACTTTTTGGGGAGGTTCCCAGGGTTGAAACTCAGGCCTCACATTTGGGGGAGTGCATGTCTTTTCTTTCCACCTCTTGAGGCGGTCTCACTTGTGTGTTACGTGCTAGACAGAACATAAATGCCCAGGCAATTCTCTGGGACTCAACATATGGCAAGCAATTTTGTTTATGAATTTATTTTACTGACCCACATTTTCTGTTAACTGGTTATTTTAGAATGTCCTTAAAAACAAATGGGAAATGTCAGCTGGGTGTGGGTACACACAACTGTAATTCTAGCTTGCCAGGAGACAGGTTGTGAGTTAACAGCCAGCCCGAGATGCAGAGAGAGAGGTTTCAAACAAAAGTGAAACAGATGCAGCTGGGTTCAGCTGGACAGCACCTCTGTTGTCCGGGACTCCTTCATCCAACTGACTCAAGTTAAGAGGACAAATGGCAACAGGGTCTTCATTGAAGACTCTAATTTTGGAATCCTCCATGTTGACCACTAGAGTTGTATCTGTTTCCATGCCTGATTCTTGTTATTAAAATATAACCATATATGCTATAAAAATTGATCAAAAACCAAACAAAAGGCACAATTATAGCATGATTCAACGGGGTCCCAATACTACATTAGTTGTAATAGGCACAAAAAGCTGGCCAAGAGTGGAGAGCACAGACAGCACTGTTCTGTGAGTCACGAAGTGCTCGGGCCGTACACTCATTCCTTTGGTGGTCGGCAGTGAAAGGCAGCCATCCATCAGGTGCGACTGCCTCTGTCTCTGGTGGGGACTAGAATACATGAAATACCGAGTCTTGTTTATAGCCATCATACCACATTTGATTTAGGAAAGACTCGTGGTTAGAAGAGAAGGGATGTAAAAAAGCACTTCAAGTTCTGACAAGTTAACAAAGTTGTTAACATATCCGAGGGCCCGTGGAATACAGCGGGAGTCAGGCTCTCTGGGCTTTGGCTATGCAACAGTAATGAGAAAGCAGCAGCATCAGTGGACTGCTCTGCCCCCTCTGAGGGGAAAGAGCTCAAATAAAAAAATGCTCAGAAAACTACAGGTCCTCGTGGCACAGTGGTATATGCCTTTCGTCCCAGCACTTGGGAGGCAGATCTCAGTGAGTCTGAGGCCAGCATAGTCTACAGAGAGAGAGTTCTAGGACAGTCAGAGCAGCACAGAGAAACCCTGTCTTGGACAACAAAAAACCCTACAAGTTCTTGCTCCCTTCTCTGTGCCACACAGCAGCATCTGGGTGAGTCCCCGTGAGAGCAAGGACAAAGCCGGGACAGGGCTGTTGGATCTCCAGGGAAAGCCAGCAGTAGGTAGGAGCGCAGGGTCTCACTCCGAGCTTAAGTTCTCCGGGCACACATGTTCTTTTCTGCAAGGTGAGAAGAAGGGTCCTACTAGTGAGGCCTTCTACACTTTTACAAGGGTTACACATTCCGACCCCCTGGGAAGACATGCGGGACCACATGTAAAAGGTGTTGGTGGACCATCAATTATATTTAAAGACGTGCTCATCATGAAAAGGCCGCTTTTATACACAGGATTTTATTTTGCACTGCTGAAACAATTCCATTCTAGACCACGGGAGAAAAAGAAAGGATAAACCACCACAGAGCAAACGACTAAAGCTCTTCTACTTCAACAGGATTTCCATCTGGTAGATTTATTTTCATCACATCCCCTTAGAACAGACAGTAAGCTTACCATAGTTGAAAGATTATAGATAGGTTGCCACTGAAAGAAAAATTTTACACAGTCACTGTACATCAAGGCTGACAAACTGTCCTGCATGAAAAATATCCTTAGAAACCGTGTGACTGGAAGGGAACATTATTGTGTCTGGGGAAGGTAAAGAGGCATGGCGTGCCCTCGGAGTCACTTAGTGTTGGGGTTTCCGCTTCCGCCCTTCCTACCCACCACACTGTTTTTACCCAACAGCACTCATTAAGGCAAACAAATCCTTCTGTGAAGCTGTCTCAAGAAATTGTGGACAAATAGCAAACTTTTGGCATTAAAACAGGTTAACACACACACACAGCCTTTAGTAATACAATAAGCTTATTTTTCTTGGACTAGTGACAAGAGATGAGCATGCTCATTAGCGATGTCAAAAAGTTTACAAGTCAGTGTCCAAGCAATTCCTAACAATGCTTCTGTAGCTTCAAGCTCCGAACAGTGTAGGGTTTATGCAAATGCATTAGACTTCAAGCTTGGCAAATCACACCCAAGCAGGTTATTAAACTATATATACAGAAAGCAAATGATAAATACAGAATTCAAAGAGTCCTTCTGCTTTTCCTCATATCCTTGAAAACTGACAGACCTTCTGAGGACAGTCCTATCATATTAAACATTAGGTAACCACAGATGTTGGGAAACCTAACTACACAAACTGATTTAAAATACTCACCATGACTTTGTAGTGTTTAATACAATTCAGCTCGTAGTCAAGGGCACAAGACAACATTTAACAAAAATAATCACATCAATTGACCTAGAAATCAAATGCAAATAGATATGAATACAATCTCCAAAATCTGTCTTTTTAAGTGAACATTAACCATTTATTCAAAGTTATACAAGAATCTGAAGGATTAAAGCCTCCTGTGACATAAAGCCATTTCGGATAGTTTCATGTCTCAGCTGGGCACGAGGAAAGAGGGGGACAGAGTGCGTGGCTCCACTGGGCAGCTAGCCGGTGACAACGACTCAACAGCAGCCTCCCCCTGCCTGCTGTCCGCCTTGGTTGCCTGCGTGTGTTGCATTGGTAGCAGCGTGCTGAGGGCCAATTTTAATGCCATTTGCCTAAAGTAAAAGAAAACAGGACCGTAAATAAAATCAGACCCAACCAGGAAGTAGACTAACTAGATTTTTCTAAAAAATTCACCTAATTCAGAGTGATTTAACTTTGCCAAACAACTCTAAAAAATATTTCAGTAGATTTTTGAAACCAGGTGGCTCCTTGTTGTGAAAAGAGGGACAGAGAACAGAGCCTGAGAGTCTGTTACAGTCAGTGGGGTTCGGATAACGCTGCTTGTCAGAGTTTCATAATGAAGACATGTGATAATTAGTACAGGGGATGATTAGTAAAGGGTAAAAATATCCGAAGTCTTTGCTGCCTGGAGGACGTAAGATCTTCCTTCTAGACAGCATTTCTGCTCCATGTTGAATCAGCTGTGCAGGCTCGGGGGACATGAGTGTTCTGTGTCGTCAGTAATTTCTATGATCCCCGAAGACATGGCACCTTGCCAAGAACCCACACACAGAGTGGTTCTTTCATTCATCAAACTCACACTTATGTCTTAACCCTCACTCCCTCAAGTGGATTTTACCTAAAAATATAACACTTTGAGAAAAGTAATACAGTAGCTCCAGAAATTAAGCTCTTAAGGAAACTTTGCGTCACAGTAAATCTCAGATTTATGGTGCTTGGCAGTTACTCTGCAGCAGTAGCAGCCTTGGGGCTTCTGGCACTGGCTCCATATTGACAGCGGCTGATGTGGTTTCTTTTCGCTCTTTTGACTCCTCTTTAATAAAAAGCATGCCCTATGGCTCATTGGTTCTGCCCCCTCTGGGCTGCGAGCAACTTCTTGAGAAATCAAGAAGTCAACCTTGGCATCAGGCCAAATAAATAGCAAGGCCTGTTGGCTCCTGACAGCACATTACAGTCAAAGCCACAGAAGACGCAGCAAAGCAGTCAGCTACTCTAGGAAACCAGACAGAAACAGCATGTGTGCCCTGTAAACAGAGGCCCAGTTACTGTTCAGTTTATAGGGCATCAGTCTCTGAATGGTGTCACCTTTAAATTAACTCAAGAAGTATTGCCATGTAAGTCTAAACAAAAGATTTAAACCTGCGCTATTCCACATTAAAAACATTAAGTACTTTTTAGAAAGCCAAGGCATGCAGCTGATTGTCTCCTAAGTACAGGCCAAAAGCATCTCTTAGATGTCGTAATACAAATGAACAGCAATGGTTATGTGAAAGTCACAACATGCTCTATTTGCATAAACATTTTGAAATAAGGATAAATGCAGAGGGGGAGGGGAGTTTAAATGAAAATGTCAGCTAGAAGACATTCTCAATCATCTAAAATGTCACACTTTATCCAATCATGTTGACCAAGTTATGCTCAAAATAACACTAGGAAAGCCATGCCAACTATTAGTTAATTATTTGCATTTATTTGGGTATCCTGAAAAATGTGTTTTTGCTTTAATAGTCATTTCCACATTGGGAACTGCCGTCTCTCCGGTCAGAAGAGAGCACACTGCACCAGTCCACAGGACATGCGTTTACACGCTGGGACGGCATTCCCCAGAGCATAAGCACATTTGGATAAATGCAGGTTTTCTTTACAACTAAAAGAATTTACATTATTCTTCATTGTTTGCAATGAATAGTCAGGGCCATTTCCTTTAATCAAATTTCATAAAGCCGCCCTCTACTAGAACATGAACACTTAACTGAACTATACTCATCAGGTAACATAGGCACCTACCTACTGTAATAACATGTACCAGGCTTTTAGCTACGGGATTGCTAACTAATGTGGCAATGAGTGATCAATGCACCCATTTTAGAAAAATTAAACAAACAAAGGCTTCAAATACTAAGTAGAAGTCAACTCAAAATTAATGTTTGGTCAACAATATTTGCATGTACATACCTCATTATTAATGTCAAAGACCCCTTCTTGGATTTTTTCATAAATTTCTTTTGCTGTGTTAATAAATGCCTGAAAAATAAAGTAGAGAAATAGGTCTGTATGATTCAAAGTCATAACAGTAAAAGAGCATTATATGAAAACTCTATGGGGGACTGAAGAGATAGCTCAAGGGTTAACAGAGCTTGCTGCTCTTCCAAAACACTTTTGGCTCCAGAACCCATGCTGTAACTCCAGCTCCATGGGATCTGATACCCTGTGTGGGCGCCCTACTCTAACCACGCTGCTGATGGTGATGAAGAACTCCAGGGCACTAGAGCTGGCTCAGGGTAAAATGTACTTGCCACAAAAACTTGACAATCTAAGTCTGATTCCTAAAAGGAGAGAACAAACTGCTGGAAATACTTTCTGAACTCTATAGACAAGTGTATGCACACGCACACGCACGCACACACACACACACACACACTGTTCTCAAGACTATCATAACATTGGCACATGAAATTATTTCATATCCTTAATACATGACAAAAACCATGATCATTTCAATATAATATAAAACAGTGGTCCTCAGCCTCCCTACACTGAGACCTTTAACATCGTGGTCCTCAGCCTCCCTAATGCTGAGACCTTTAACACAGTGGTCCTCAGCCTCCCTACACTGAGACCATTTAACACCGTGGTCCTCAGCCTCCCTACACTGAGACCTTTAACACCGTGGTCCTCAGCCTCCCTAATGCTGAGACCTTTAACACAGTGATCCTCAGCCTCCCTAACACTGAGACCCTTTAACACAGTGGTCCTCAGTCTCCTAACGCTGAGACCTTTACCACAGTGGTCCTCAGACTCCCTAATGCTAGGACACTTTAATGCAGTTCTTTTTTTTGTTGCTACTTCATAACTATAATTCTGCTAGTTATGAATTGTAATGTAAATACTTGACATGCATCTCCAAAGGATCATGAACCCCAACTGCTGATCTAAGACAAGGCACATCTGACAGCATCCTCACTAGTGAAGATTGCAAGTTTTTCCTCTAATCTGAGGGAAGCAAGGATGCATGCCAAACCTCATTTGCATCATTAGCTCTGTTGTTCATAACAGCCAGAATACAAGAACAACATGAGCTTTCACCCACAAGTGAGTGGAAACTAAAACGCGGGCTAGTGATGTAACAGACACTTAGCCATCTAAAGGACAAAGGTTTGGGCTACAATATGGGGACCCTTGAAAACATGCTGCGCAAAACACATAATTCAACCCCATTTCTATGAAATGTCAGAATGGCCAAAGTCATGGACAGAAAATACATTATTGGTTATTCACGGTTGGAAGAGGAAATGAGAGCAACTGGCAACTAGGGGATTTTCTTGCAGGAGGATGGAAATGTTTTCTAATTATTAGACAATGGTGATAGCTATGCAACTCTGTAGATAATTAAAGCTTACCTAAATGCATACTTGAAGAGTGGATTTTATAAGTGAATCCTATCTCCAAAGCAGATATGGCTAAGGAGGGGGAGAGTATCCTGATGTTGAGTATGTACGAGAACCCAAGTCAACGTTCCACAGGCATGCTTCTGCCATACTATGGAGTCTGAACGACAGAGTCAGAGGCAGGCCAGGAGATGGTGCAGCAGGACAGAGTGTTTGTCAGGAAGATTAAGCACCTGAGCTCAGTTCTGGGAACATAGTTCAAACCCCAGATGTGGTGGCCCAGTCTCCAACAGTGAGACCAAAGGGAGGGTGCATCACCTGGGAGCTAATGTATGCAGCACAGTGGCAGAAACTCTTTTGTGTTCTCTCTCAATAAATCTTTAAAAGAAAGAGGAAAAGAAGGTGATTCCGATGGTAAAGGCTGTTCGTGTGGAACAGTTCTGCCCTCTCCTACCCAGTTCACTACTATACATCAGAAAATCAGTGTGAGTGTGAGAAACTATTCACAAAATTAAGTCTGTCAATTACCCACAAGTATCCTATGTTTATGTAGACTATTTAAGGTATTTTATGTAAATATTACCAGTGCTACAGAGGGCATACGAATTCTGGTAGGGTCTAAACTATTAGATTTGAGAGAAAAATAGATTAGAGTATTAATCAGTATTCTGCAGGAAGGCATCTTCAAGTGGCATCTGATGAAAATTCATGGGTTTCTTCCTGAACCACCAGTACAGATTTGATGGAAAAGCTGAGAAGCAAAGCGCTCATGGAGAGAACAAATCATAACTCCCCTCTTTTCAACACTGGAAACATTTGACTGCTGAAGTTGCTATCATAGCTTTTGTTTCCCAATTAACAGGACTGATACGTTTTCACCTTTAAAAGCCTTACCACTCCCCGGAGTAATCAATCTACTACAGCTCAATTACTATACCAAGCACAGCCCAGTCAGCAAAGAAGATCGGAATGACTGTGGCAGAACACAGAGGTATGAATATGCATAAATTCTAAGTGGCTGTCTGAATCATCACAGAGGGTCATGAGAATTTGCTGCAAAATGAGAAGAATTAATCACTGATGATCCACAAGGCATTTAGGACGTCAGCCTGCTTTTCATGTGTGTTGTGGCATTGCAGTGGTGGAAAATTGCCTTTCAGTCAACTAAGAACTGATTCGTATTCTTCAAAACCGAAGGTATCCCTATCCCTATAAAAAAGTAAAACCTGAACTTTATTTCTAACAACAAGCTGATTACAATAATGGCCTCAGAAACCTGGCTAACTTAATCAAGAGACAAGTACTCGTAAGGCTGAAATCCCTCCTACAGAGCACCACATATGTGCATGCCAACAATGCCAGACTGATTACAAGGTCCCATGTATGTAGGACACTATGTGTGTAAATGCTAACACTGTCAGACAGACTACAAGATCCTACATATGTAGGGCACCCACATGATGATGGAAGTTACAAAATAATCCCATACTAGTTCAGAATTATGTATAATAAAGGGGTTATTTATTTAGGGGAGACTCACAGATCACTGCTCTAGATCACAATCCTCTGCATGAATGGGGAACAGGAACAGAGTCTAACAGCTGGAAGCGAGAGTGAGCTCAAGCTTTACAGCAGCATTTATAGTATAAGAGACCATGCCCAAGTGGGCTGATATCTTAAAGGCTACTGGCTGAAGGAGCGGAAGGTGCTCGCACAGCACCCATGTGTGCATGCTAATGTAATTCCAGACAGACTACAAGGTCCTACTATGTAGGGCACCATGTGTGAGAATGCAGTATTAGTATTGCTAGACTGAACTATGTGGTCCTGCATATGTGTTATAACTTCATAGAAACAAACAACTCTAACCCTAACCTAGTATACAAAGACTCACTGAGGTTAAGCAAACTGTTGTTTACCAACTCAACAAGAAATCATTTAAAAACTGGTATAAGAAAGCTATGCTATGTAAAATTTCTCTTTACCATATTAACTTTATTCCCTAAGCAGTATTTAATACTTTATTAAGCACTTTTAAGAACACAGTTGTAACGCATATTTGAGATGTACTTTATATCTGGAAGGCATGAAATTAATTTTCTTTGAACTGAATTACATAGATGGTTACGGATTTTTCATTATAATTCAGTCTGTAAATGGAGTAGTCTTTGGATAATGCTACCTTTACTCTGTAATTCTGATTCCACACTGAAGACACTAAAATGCTTTCTACTTTTCTGAGTACAATATAGAGAACACTATATAAATGCAGTACTTTTAGATACCTCAAATAAAAAATAACATTTACTGTATATTATTAGGCAACTACTAAGTGGTTTTAACGATTCCTTACAATGTGGAATCGAGCATGACAAACGCAGATATCAGCACACCCATCTTAATCTACACAGCTATTGGCTAAAGTGGGAGATTCCCCCAAATACAATGAACATTAAACCGATACTATTAAGGCTCATTGGTGGTTAGTTAATAGTACTGGGATCACAGATAAAAATCTATCCTTTCAATATGTAAAAATTTCAGTAATAAGAAATAGACAATGATTTCATAATAATCTGGCTATTAAAATGGTAATTTTAATGGAGATGGTTCAATGGTTAAGAGCACTTGGTGCCCTTGCAGAGAACCCAGGTTCAATTCCCAGAACCTATATGGCAGCTCACAACTGTTTGTAACTCTAATTACAGGGGATCCAGTGTACTCTTCTGACCCCTGTAGGTATCAGGCACAGACACGGTAAACATATACACATACATGCAAAACACTCATACACTTAAGAATAAATACATCTTGAAAAATTCTAATTTTACTCTTCATTTCTCTTCAGTTGTCTTGGGTATTTTCCAAGTGTTGGTTCATACTGTCAATCTGACAAGATTTAAAAATTACCTAGGAGACAAACCTCTGGGCAGACCTGTGAGGGGTAATCTGGACTAGGTTAGACTCTGGGCAGGCCTGTGGGGGTCATCTAGATTAGGTAGCTGAGGTGGAAGAGCCACCATGAACTGGGTAGCACCATTTCCCGGGCTATTGTTGTGAACTGAATAGAGGGAAGGACATACACACAGCTGCAGTTTGATTCCAGCAAGCACCAGGATTGAGCTTAGAGAGCGGCAGGGCTGCCTCAAGCTTCTGTCTCCTAACACCCCTGCGAGAATGTACTTTCACACTGTGCGCCCGAATAAACCCTCCCTTCCTTAAGTTGCTTTTGTAAGACAGTTTTTCCTAGCGACATGGGAAGTAACTACAAACTTAAACACTGTTTTTGGCTTTGTTCTGTGAGTCAGGGTCCCACTATGTAGCCCTGCTTGTCTCCTACTTGTGATTCTCTGTCCAGCCTCCTGGGACTACATTCATATGGCACAGTGCCTGGCTGAACTGTACATCTCTGAGGGAAAATTTGTTTAAGACCTTACAAAGAAGAAAGGGTAAAGCAATAAGGAAAAACTGATACTGCTACTGGGTAAAGATTAGCCAAGAAAATGACGACAGATCCATTCACTGCAAACCAATGCCCTGCACATATGTGCTTATGAACACAGATAACTTCCTTACAGCCAGCGGATTTGGAAATCGGTGGCTCTCGTGCACAGACCACCCGGATTCAGCACTGGA